TCGGTAGCCGCTTCGTTCAGTTGCGTATTTATTTCGCAGAAATTGACAGTTTATGTCCAAAATTTTGTTTCTTGTTATCAAAATACGCTTTTTTAAAATAACTAAAGACATGATTACATATGCCTTCGGAGGGTACACAAAGCCGGCAGTCTAGACTACCAGTTGTCCGAGCTGTTTTGTGGAAGTCGCGGTATTAACTGAGTGGGTTAGACGGCTGACTTTGTGTGCTGTGATAGGTGCCTGACTCTGAGGGTGTGGTTCGAATCAGATGGGGCTCAACTCAAAAGTACCGTTGTACTTTACTAAGAAAGTGTAATCCCAAATATAACATGTTATAAAGAATGCTTATATCGTGACAGCCATCGTATCAGATCGTATCGTTCTATGATATCGCGAGTGGGTGGCACCTGCTCACCCTGGCGTCTTTTCAAGAGATGGCGGCGCCGGGCGCGGCAATATGAATCTGATCACTTCCGGTCAGGGGGTCCTCGGGTTCCGGTTCCGGTGGTTCCGGTTCCGGTGGACCTTACTACACATGGCGATGACGTCGTCCGGTTCAATTGGGTGCCGCGCGCATGACGATGACGTCACCTCAGGCAAGATAACGGACGCGTTTGAGATGGGGTCCATCCGGGGTGGGATCGTGAGATCTCATATGGGATCTCGTGGATTCTCGCCAGGATCTCACTGACGAAACGCGATTTCAAGATAGCGGAACGGGCGAGCGGCGGATTGGGGACAGGACGGAGAGGAAGGAAGGAGGAAGGAAGGGAGGGAGGAGGGAGGGAGGGAGGTGTGGACGATGGCGTGCGTGCGGTGACGATGATGTAGTCTAAAGTGTGATTTTATTGTGGTACCAGCCTCAAAGATACTTATATTTGTTACAGTTGTGCATGGGATGCAAGTGTGTAGTAGAGCAGATGTAGGCATGCCATGCACCAATGCAGGTGCCGTGAGATCGTAGGTGGGGTACACACCACAAACGGTCCTTTTCAGGGGCCACCACATCTCTCTCAAGAATGGGTACAACCAATGCAAACAACAATAGCCAACAACGATAGACTGGCGAACATCCGTTTACCTTTCCCCGCTAACAGAACATACGGCCAAAGAGGCAGAGTTAGGGGCGTCCCGATCTTTGTTTACAAACGGTATGAACTGCTTATTACTCGGTGGCATATCACAATATATATTCATCGTGATCTTGTAGCCACGTTGTTTCGCCAGGTATCTACTATTAAATGGTTCAAGTGAAGCGCAGCACGTGCCAGTAACGGGTACGTACTCACACATGTTGTTTTCATTCAAGGAACTTTTGTCCTGCTCTTGGTCCATTTAGACAGGAATTGTTTGCGCTCCTTCGGCAACCCCGTGTCACGATCGTGACTATCCTAAAACTGATCGAATTTCAGCACTGTGAAGAGTGGGCATAAGACCATTCTTTTAGAGAGTAACGGTCCATGGCAAATGGCTACCGCTATTTGGCATTTTACATTTAGACATTACTGCTTCTTGACGTCGTCGATGGAAACTTTGAAAGCTCATGTCATTGAGCTTCGGTATTTTCGAGAACTACTCATTCTGCATTTGCAACGGAGTCCTGTGTTTATATTCAGGCGGTGCATTAAAGTTATCTATGTTTTAGTTTCATCCTATTGTATACCATCCTGGGCTCTGGTGCGTCGCGCATTTCCCACACCTTAGTCACGTTTTCAAATAGGCTCGGTGGATAGGTTCCCACAGAGAATTAATTTCCAATGATTGTGTCCACAGGCACACACTCAATGAAGAGGGAATGCATCATGAAAAGCGTTCACCGTGAACGTAGGTGGCTCAATGTCATGTGAGTCGCATCCGTGCC